TGATCTCCTTAGTATCTGTAGTTATATCCCCCTTTTTATTCCTAAAACATTAACTTGTGTATTCTCTTTTATATGCTTATTTTGATTCATTTCTTTTGGTTCATATATTTTAACTTTCTTCCTATTCTTTTTTCTTTTGTCTCTTTCTCTCTCTCTCTCTTTTTTTTTTTTTTTTGGTATAATTGACATGCAACATTATCTTAGTTTCAGAAGCACAACATAATGATTTGATATTTGCATATATTGCAAAACGATCACCACAACAAGTCTAGTTAACATCTGTCATCACATATAGTTACAAAACATTTTTTTCTTGTGATGAGCACTTTTAAGATCTATTCTCCTAGAAACTTTCAAATATGCAATATGGTATTATTAACTATAGTCACCATGTGGTACATTACATCCCCATGACTTATTTATCTTATAACTGGAAGCTTGTACTTTTTGACCCCCTTCACCCATTTCACCCACCCCCAACCCCTAGCTCTGGCAACCACCAATCTGTTCTCCATATCTATAAGCATGATTTTTTTGAAAGATTCCATATATAAGTAAGATCATACAGTATTTGTATTTCTCTGTCTGACTTATCTCGCTTAGCCTAATGCCTTTAAGGTCCATTCATGTTGTTGCAAATGGCAAGATTTCATTCTTTCTTATGACTGAATAATATTCCGTTCTATATGTATACCACAATTTCCTTCTCCATTTACCCATTGATGGACACTTGGCTTGTTTCCATATCTTGGCTGTTGTAAATAATGCTGTGACAAACATGGGGGTGCACATATCTTTTCAAGTTATATTTTCCTTTTCTTTGGATAAATATCCAGAAGGGGGATTGCTGGATCGTATGCTAATTCTATTCTTAACTTTTTGAGGAAACTTCATGCTGTTTTCCATAGTGGCTGCACCACTTTACATTCCCAGCAACAGTGGACAGGGCTTGTCTTTTCTCCACATCCTCACCAACACTGGTCATTTCTTGTCTTTTTGATAATAGCCATGAGGTGGTGTCTCATTGTAGGTTTGATTTGCATTTCCCTGATGATTATTCCTGTTGAGCATCTTTTCATGTCCCTATTGGCCATCTGTATGACTTCTATCTATCTTCACCAATTGGATGATTAACTCATTAATTTGTATCTTTTTCTTTCTTAATGTAAGAATTCATGCTACACATTTCTTTCTAGGTATCCCTTGACAGGAATGACCCAAGGGCTGATCTCTAGTATTTTTGTTATCATTCAGTTCTAAATATTTTCTAGTTTCCATCATGTTTTCTTCTTTGACTCATAATTGATCTAACAATGTGTTCTAAAATTTCTAAAAGGATAGAGTTTTTCTAGCTATCACTTTCTTATTGATTTCTAACTTAATTTCATTATGGTTAGAAAAGATGATCTCTATGTTACCAGCCCCTTGAAATTTGTTGCGACTTGCATCAAGGCCAAAGACGTGGTCGGTTTTCATGAGCATTCCTTTGTGTGTGGTCAAAAAGAATCTATATTCAGGCTTCCCTGGTGGCGCAGTGGTTGAGAGTCTGCCTGCCGATGCAGGGGACACGGGTTTGTGCCCTGGTCCGGGAAGATCCCACATGCCGCAGAGCAGCCGGGCCCGTGAGCCATGGCCACTGAGCCTGCGCGTCCGGAGCCGGTGCTCCGCAACGGGAGAGGCCACAACAGTGAGAGGCCCGTGTACCGCTAAAAAAAAAAAAACTCTATATTCGACAATTGTACTACATGTGTTCATTAAATCAGCTCGTTGGTTTTTCAAAGTTGCTGTATCTTTTGTGTCTCCTCGATTTATCAGTTCCAGAGAGAGGTGTTATTTAGATCTCCCACTATCATGGGGAATTTGTCATTTTCTCCTTGCAACAGGCCAAAATTTTCAGTATCTATTTTAGGACTTTTATTAGGTGCAAACAATTTTAGAACTATTATACCTTCCTAGTGAGTTGAAACTTTTTTCAGAAACTTTTTTGGAGCCTTTTTCAACACCAACGAATTCTCTGATTTCCCAGATACCAACTGGGTGTTCAACAATTCAGTTCAGTTTTGACACTAACCCCTGGGAGCTGGCACAGGCCTCAGAGCTCAAGTGCTCAGTCCCCTAAGACTGCCCTCCTTCACCTTTAGACACCTTTCACCATTCGCAAGACCCAGGCCACCTGTACTTCTGTCAATGGGCTAAAAATCAGGGGTTCCCACAACCCTTCCTAAGGTTCAATAATTTGCTAGAACAGCTCACAGAACTCAGGAAGAGGCACTTTAATTGTGTTTACTGGTTTATTATAATGTACAGAACTCAGGAACAACCAAATGGAAGAGATGCATAGGGCAAGGTGTGTGGGCAAAGGACCTTCCACGCCCTCTTCAGGCAGCCACTCTCCTGATACCTCGATACGTCCACCAGCAGGAAGCTCATCAAGTCTCCTTGATCAAGAGTTTTTATAGAGCTTAATGTTCAGCTTGCCCACCCCTCACCTCCCCTTCTTAGAGATCAGTAGCCTGAAAGTTCCAACCCTCTAATCACTTGGTCTTTCTGATGACCAGCCCCATCTTAAGGCTATCTTAGTGTCCCCCGCCTAAGTCTCCTCATTAGGACAAACTCAAGTTGATCAAAAGGGGCTCTTAGGAACAGGAGAAGACATGCCTATCACTCAGGAAATTCCAAGGGTTTTAGGAGCTCTGGCCAAGAACCAAGGATAAAGACCAAATGCATTTCTTATTATGCCACACCTTTTATCTTTTTTCTGTCCAGTAATCATTTTGGGTTTAAAGCCTACATTGTCTGATATGATTATAGATATACCAGCTTTTAGTTAATTAGTATTAACTAATTAACCAGTTTTTAGTTAGCATTTGCCTAGCATATCTTCTTTTAATTTTAAAAAATTATTATATAATTTATTGAAATAATTTCAAAAGTTTCAGTTTATTTAAATTTTCAAGTTCAAACTTCAGATACTTTTCAGATGCTTCCTAGGTAAAAATTTTAATATACAAAAAGTACTAGAAAGATTAGTACAGTGGTTACCCATATACACAATACATAGATTAAAAACTTATTGTTTTGTCATATTTGCTATATCTGCATCTATTTTTTTAATAAGGTCATGTGTTTTCCATAAACCTCATACCGTTTTCACACTTAATAAAATTCATAATTTCTTAATATTCTTAAACACCCAGTCCATATTCAAATTTTCCCTATTATCCCAAATTGCGTTTACAGTTGTTTTTCACACTAAGTTGTTTTGTCTCCAACATGTCTTTCAGTCTAGGACAGTTTATACACACCGCCAATTTTTCTCCTTGATAACATTAATGTTTTAAAGACATCAGATGAGTTATCATGCACAATGTCCATCTTTTTAACTTCAGTCTCTGTGTCCTTATATTTCAGTTGGATCTGCTGTAGACAGTATTCCCTGGATTCGTTGTCTAATCCAGCATAATGTTTGTCTTATACTTGGCAAATTTAGTCCACATATACTTATGGTCATTACCAATATATTTGGAATTAGTTGTTCCATCTTCTCTGGTCATTTCTACACACCCCACTTTCTGTATGTAATGTTTATTTTGCAATTGAACTGGGTGTTTTAGTTTTGCTTTCTTGTGTTTATTCTACTTCATTCCTTTTTACTAGATAATTAGTTTGGAGGTTTATGCTCCACGCCTCTGCATCACCTTATGCCACACGACAGAGGGGGCTTCAAGAAACCCACCCTTTAATTTGGGCCTGTGTCCCTTGCGTTTGGGGAGCTTGAGAACTGGAACGACATGTGACATCAACAGAACTGAAACAAAAAGAAAGAAAACTACACTGGGAGACACTACTCTTCCATCAACGCTGGGACATGAACGGGCACAAGCTTATCCTGGACCAGATGTGGGCCAAGCAGGAGGGAGCTGGCCAGGAGCCATTTGTAAGTCCTGTCCAGGATTCCAAAAGACTGATGGTCCCCAGACAACCAGGGCTGACGAAGGAAACATTCGCAAGCAGACAGAGGAGACTTGCCCTGTGGAGGGAAGGACAGTCGGCCCCAGCAGGGTACTTCTGAGGAACCCACAAAAGCCCCTTTCAGGAAAATGGTCACTTTGAACACCTGCCAAGCCCAGCGAGCAACAGCAGGAGACCTCAAGGGATCAACCATGAAGGGTCGTCCCTTCTCCCTCAGACCATCCCACGAGGGGTCAGCTGCACCTACATCAGGCATGGGACCAGCCCCACCCCCACCCCGAAAGCCCTGAGGCAACTTTGTACCACGTGACCTGGCCCCACTGGGCAGAGCTGATTGGCCTAGTGGGGCCACCTGACCCAATGGCAGCCAATCAATCTGTAGGCTAAGTGTGGTAAGCTGAGCCAATCAGATTCTCTCTCAGGAGCTTGCGTTGGGAGCACCTCGCAGGCCACAGGGAGGGATGAAACTGAGCAGACGTGGGGAGAGAAGCCGCAGGAGCGGGTGTGGGATCAGAGACTTGGTGGTGGGGGGAGGGGTGTTGTGACAGCCCAAGTGGAGAGGACGCAGGAGTGCTGCGGGGTGGAAGTGATAAGGCTGAGAAAAGCTGTGGAGATCAGAGGGATATAAAGGAGGTTTTAACAAGATTGGCAAGAGCATATAGTCTTTCCTTATGGCTGGGGTTTGAACCCCACGGACATAGACTCCAGCTACTAAGTCCTGGAAGCCAGCCTGGGTCTAGCTCCAGGCCAAAGGTCCTGGGTGTGCAGTGGTTCCTGTTCTTGAATATCAGTCAGGTTTGTCTGTCTCCCTTGCTGCCCACCTGTATCCTCACCACTAGAAACCCCCATTACTTGAGATAACTGGAGTTGGACTTTGTTTCCTGCACGTAAAGAATGCAACCCACAAATAGAAAGTGAGAGAAAATCACCAAAGAGGCAGAGAACAACATGGCATCATCAGGAACAGAGCGTAGCTGCACCCTCAACAGACCACGCCAGGCAGTTCTTGCTGCACTTCCCCCAATAAAATCCTCCTTCATTGGGCTTTATTTTATTCTGTGAAAATAAGCCTCATTGTAAAACAGAATAAATCCACAAACCAAACCTCAAACCCTCTAGCAAAGAAGGCCCCCGTAATGTATAAATTCACTGCTGACAAGAGAGTCCCTTCAAGTCATTGCTTTTGTTTCTTGTTTCTTGAGAACATGATTCCAATGAGGCCTATGGCTGCCAGGCCCACTCCTGCGATGCCAGCTGCCATGATGGCATCTCTGACCTGGAAGAGAGAGGAGGGTGGATCAGATTCTGTGTCAGGAATCTGAGTACACGCTGTACATTCAACAAGAACATCCAGCTCAGGGAGCCTCCCATGCCCCTTGGCCTTCTTGACAAACTCATGAGTCAACTAACATTGGCAGGGAAATACGGAGAAGAGGGCAGGATGGGGCAGGAGTGGTGGGTGGGGCCAGCTGGCCAATGACATACACAGGTCTGAAGCGGGAAACTCACTTCACCCTGTGAGTACTTAAAGCGCACATCCCCAGAGGGTGGCTGTGAAAAGGACAGGGAGATGAAGCCAGATGGTTGAAATCCTGGCTGGCCAACAGGGAGCTCTCGAAGTAAGCGTGAAGTTGAAGTCATTGCTATTGAATCCTCAATAAACTGTGACCTCCGTCAGAGCAAAACCCTCACTTGCCGTCACCTTCACTGTATCCCCAGCACCCGGTCCTGCCAGGCGCAGAGGTGCTCTTTGCATGTTCTTAAATGACTCAACTATGAAGAGTAGTAATGTTATACTTTAAATTATTAAGATATCTGACTTGTATTGTTTGTACTAGAAAAAAAAATGTTGCAAAAGTAAGAGTAAGTTTCAGGGTAAAAAATTGAACATGTATCAAATTTCACTCTTTCCAAAATCCAATTCAAAGTCAAATAAGGCGTTTGTTTCAGGCATAATTCCACTAGGACCCAGAGAACACTAAATGCAGTGAAGGCACAATGCCCGAAATCATGAAAACTGTACTTTTTCCCACTAACGGTATCATGAACATGGATCAAGAAATCTCACCCTAAAACCAAGCCAAGCATTTAAGCAGAATCAAGAACTGCAAAGGAAAAGATTCTTAATGATTTTACTCCAAGAAGTCCAATGAGAGAGTGTACTAAAAATCCTCTTTCCAAAATCCAATTAAAAGTAAAATAAGGCATTTGTTTCAGGCATAATTCCACTAGGACCCAGAGAACACTAAATGCAGTGAAGGCACAATGCCCGAAATCATGAAAACTGTACTTTTTCCCACTAACGGTATCATGAACATGGATCAAGAAATCTCACCCTAAAACCAAGCCAAGCATTTAAGCAGAATCAAGAACTGCAAAGGAAAAGATTCTTAATGATTTTACTCCAAGAAGTCCAATGAGAGAGTGTACTAAAAATCCCAGTAATAAAAAGGATGAAAATGTGGATTTGGTACCCCAAACCCACATCCTTACATGACGCCGCCAACTCTGCCCTTGGTACCCTAAGCACAGAGCTTGCCTAGGTTGTGTATGTTGTGGCCGAAAAATTCCCACATGCCCACCATAGAGAAGACTTTGAAAAACTTCAATGGTTAAAAAGAATATATGTTGCCACTGCCCAGGCTTATCTGAGCCATAAACGTGTCCAGCATAGCTGTGTGAAATGCCAGGAAATACACCAGTGTAACTAACATCACAAGGTACCCAGAACACATGTCAACAGAAGTTTGAATGAAGCTACTGACCTAAGGTTTGACTGCTGGTCAGTCTTTAGACCTTCCTGTTAAATTAAAGGTAATTAGGCTTGGCTTTGTGGCAACCGTGGTCCTGTTGGGTTCTTGCTAGGGAGCCTGCATAAAACCACTTGTATCCAGTGTTTTCCTTGCTAAGCTATGTGTCAAGGTGGGAGAAATGGTTTGCAGATAATGGAGTAGGAACAATAAGCCCCCAGTTCTTTACAGAACCTCACAGTGTGAGGAGAAATGCTGATGGAGCCGGTTCATACAAAAGGTACTTTGTCAGGGAAAACAACAATAGCCTCATTGTTTGTGCTCATGCTTTGTACAGAGTCAAATTGTGTAATTAAATACAAGAAAGTAGTATTTAGTTAGCCCTGAGAATGCAGATTTTACGGAAAGAATGATCTCCCCAAGAGAGACAGAGCTACCTGCAGATGCCATTGATGATTTTCTTGTTGTAAGGCTGCTGGGTCCAGCCCAGCCACTGTGCTGAAATTACAACAGTTCTGATCATGAAAATGGGCTACACGGTGTGCACCAGAGGTCTTCAATCAGAATATTATGAAAGAGAAAAGTTGCCCCTCATTATCTTTTCTTGAAAGTGGGCAAACAGTAATCCTATCAGACTGCGGACAGTTACCTGCTTATGCTACACGTCTACAATCAGTTAAGCCCTGGAATTATTTCTGGGAAAAAGACAATTCTTATGTGCTTTCTTCACTTTCAGCAATGTTCTAAGTGGATATAAGAAGAGTAATATTATTCAGAAAGCAATTGAATTCAGACTATGAGAGGTTATAAAATAACAATGGTTATAAAATATGTGTACAGAAAGTTGGCTTTAATATTTACAGTAGTTTTTTTGTTTTGTTTTGTTTTTGCGGTACGCGGGCCTCTCACCGCTGTGGCCTCTCCTATTGCAAAGCAACAGGCTCCGGACGCGCAGGCTCAGCAGCCATGGCTCACGGGGGGCCCAGCCGCTCCGCGGCATGTGGGATCCTCCCAGACCGGGGCACGAACCCGTGTCCCCTGCATCAGCAGGTGGACTCCCAACCACTGCGCCACCAGGGAAGCCCTACAGTAGTTTTTAAATAATACCCTGTAATTTATCCAGGTTTATGTAATTACACAATACCATTGGCCACATCTTCAATTTCTATTTATCTTAAAATTTTATCTGACACAGAGTAGACTACAGCATGAGTGTCGCTCCTATAGTTGCTTTTTGCTAGAGTACTATTCAGTACAAAAGCTTACTAAGTATACATTTTTTGAAGCCTGAGTATGTTTAAATAGGTAGGTGGAAAATAGGACCATCTTGATTAGAATACTCTTAGGCATGGAAAGCACAAACAACATTTTAGTTTAAATCCATTGTTTCCCTTACTAAATGGAAACTTAGATGAGTCACATATAGCCCGTTGAAGGAAAATCTAGTCTGCTTCAAAGAGCTGAACACAAATAAACATAATGACTAATAAGATCCTTTTCACACAGAAAAATATCCTCATGAGTTAAGTGAAAAAGAGAGCTGCTGCTTTGATGGCTCTTACAAAAAAAGTACTGCTGGACGTTGTCCAGCGCACACTAAATCCACCCTCTCTAGTGAGATGGGACAAGTGCAGGAGCTACATTTTGGCCACAACATGTATTATGATCATTACTCACCTCGGCCAGCACTTCCCAAGGGGGTACAGGCTTGCCCTCGGGGGGGAATTTGGCAATATCTACAGGCATTTTGGTTCTTATACCTGGGGGTGCTACTGGCATCTAGTTGGTAGAGGCCATGGATGCTACTAAATATCCTGCAATACACAGGGCAAGTCATAACAGTGAAGACTTATCTTCATTGTTAATGACCCAAAATGTCAATAGTGCTGAGGCTGAGAAACCCTCATCTAGGCCAAGAAATGAAAGAGGAAATCTTTGGAAACAGTATAAATGGCACCTCTTTTTGTTTTGTAATATGTTCTGGTTTCATGTCCTGTGAGGGGGTCCAGTAGAATTGTTGATGCTGTTTTATCATTGTTGTGTTGTCACCGTTTTGCCTCTTTCAGGTGGCTGACTAGTGCATTGGGCTAAAGCCTCAGGAAGAGAATGGGATGTGTCTAATTTGTATTGTTTCATTTTTCAAGAAGGTGCTTGTAGAAAGAGGAAATGATAAAAAATATTTCTTGGTTCTTTCAGTATCTCAAGATTTGGAATTGTATTTAAATGCTCTAAATATTATTTGTGCATACTGACATATGTATTTTACTAACTTGTGTAACAATTTTGTGAAGAAATGTTCTACTTATATTAAATTGTGACTCTCTTCTTTAGTCTATTAATAATCACTAAAGGATAACTAAAAATGAGATGATTTGGAGATATTTTATAAATCTACCAAATCTTCTTAAAACAGCACCCTGAATTTGGTACCTTATACTTCCCAAATTTGAATAGTAATCTCTGTTTGGAGTTTATTGCTGCAAAGGAGGGTGGACGTTTACCTGAAGTAGAAGCCAGGTGTAATCAACACCTCAGTTGTTATGCAGGATCACCCATGAAATCCGATCTATTTAGCATATGTTTCTCTTTTTTATGCTGGTATCATCACTGCTACTTTTTTAAAAACTTCTACTCTACCCAGACCTACCAATAAGTGTTAGTTTTCTCACTGAAAAAGATAAATAATTGGAAAACAGGGGAGAGAAGAAAAGAAAATCAGAGGAGCAGTCTAGGGGTACAACCTCCGAATAATCAGTGTTCCCGAATGAGAGAAGAGAAAATGGAAAATTTCCCAGAATTGAAGGAACAGGGTTTCCACATTGAAAAGTGTCATCAAGTGCCCAGCACAATTCATGAAAACAGATCCACACGAGGTTTATCACTGTGAAATCTCAGAACACTGAAGATAAAGAGAAGATTCTATAAGCTTCCAGAAAGATAAAATTGGTCACATACAAAGGATCGAAAATCAGAACCGATTCAGACTTCTCGTAAACAATAGCATAAACTAGATGACAATGGAGCAATACCATCACATTTTTTAAAAAATTCTTTTCAGCCTAGAATTCCATACCCAGCCAAACTATCAATCAAATACGAGGATATAATGAAGATGTTTTCAGGCATAAACAATCTTTTTAAAATGCATCCTTTCTCAGAATCTATTAGAGGTGGTATTCCACCAAAACAAGAGAGTAATCCAAGAAAGAGAAAGATGTGAGCTGCAGAGGATAAAAGCATTAATACAGGAGAGAACTGAAGGGCATCTCTAAAGGATGCTAGTGAAGAGAGATACCAGGATGACAGTATGCATCAAATGTGACTCAAAACAAAAGTTTTGAAGGCCATTATCCCCCCTAGATAGATGTGCTGAGTGCCATCATCCCCCAGATTCCTTCTGGTTGCCTCACATTTGTAATCTGAGTCATGAGGTTCCTCTCATGGACCCGCCCACTGACTTTCCCAGAAGGAGCCTCTTATAAACTGTCAGAGAAATTGAAACTAGACTGTGACCCAGAGATTCTGGGACTCTTCACCAAACACTGGCAGTATTGCCCTATCCTTCCCTAGCTAGGTGTGTACTTGCTACTAGTCAATTTTTCTATTAATCGTCTTTCACATTCATATACACACACACACACACACACACACACACACACATACTTATATTCATTGTATGTATGTACATATATGTATATGTAAATATATGTATCACATATACATGTACTTATATACATTTTTATATATTTACATACATATTTATTGAATAATAATAACATGAGTGATTGAAGAAAAAAAATAAGAGAATACCCATTTGAAGATATCTACTGCATCATCACAGAGCATAGGATGAATTAACCAACATGCAGGTCAGTGTAGTAAATAAACACAGCTGATTATCAGCGGTATGAGGAAGGCTGAGCATGATCCTTGTAGGGGGTGTTGGTGGATGCCTCCCCAGCAAGTCACTGTGGCCCAGACAGGCCAGTGGACAAGATAGTGGGTGAACCAAGAAAAAGAATGAAGATGAGGACCATTATGACTACTTTAACTATTACAATTTATTAAGTGTATTTTCTGAGTTGCCACTCTGCTAGCATAAAGATGCTCTTATTTAATTCACACAGTAACCCTCCTAGATCAGTATTATCACTTGTACTTTACCAGGGTTTAGAGAACATGAATCAATCTGTCTGCCAGGCCATGCCCTTGACCACCACAATGACCAGGGCAGAAGAGACCAGATCTCAAAAAATTAAAAAGTACTGAAAATCAACAACCTGATGGATCTTAAACTCATTCTTTACTGAAAGAAAAAAAAAAATCATACTCTTTTGCATCAACAGGCATCCAAGAACTTTTCCAAACAATGTTCTCACACACACACACACACACACACACACACACACAAATGAGGGGGCTGCAGGGAAGGGCCAGAAAAGGAGAGGAGAAAGTGAGAGAAAATAGGAAGGAAGTTAGTTACCCAGGTGAAAAAGCAATTCAAAGAAGAGAGTGGCCATGGCCAAAATCAACTAAGTAAATAAAACACACCTGCATCACCTGGGGCCTCCTGGACTGCCCCTTGGCTTAAGGCAGGGCTAATCACAGGGCTTTTTATAAGTCGTGGCAGACCTGGGCTTCAGCTCCCACCTCTGCTACTTATCAGCACAGTTGGAGACAAATCTCAGGAAAAGAGACAACACAGATTTGTTTGATGAAATGAATGGCCATCAACAAGTGCTGTGAGCCTCAGTTTCCACATCTGTAAAGCGGGATAGTAAAACCTGCCTCTGAGGTTGTGGGAAGGGTCCATCTCAGGGCCAGGCAGCCAGGGAGGGCCGGGCACCGGGCTGACAGTGACGTCTGTGCTCACACCCTCGGCCATCGTCCCCCAGCCACACTGGTCCGCGGTGCCCATCTCCCCACCCTCCTCCCCACCCCAACTGTGACATCCTTGAGGGCAGGCTTCTGCCTCTGCTATTCTGTCTTGTTTGTGCCCCTGTCTCCAGCCCAGCCCAGCCCACACGGATGCCCAGGTCAGCGGAGGAAATGGTCTGGTTCCCGGGGATGGGGACACACTGAGGACGCACCTGGTCACTGCGGGAGACCCCGTAGCGCAGCTCGTTGACAAAGTGCTCGCAGTTCTCGCTGGTCAGCTTGTAGAGAACTTCCTGGCCCACCAGCTCCTCCGCCTGCTGCACAATCTTGTTGGGAGGCAACGGCGAGTACTTGTCGTCGTGCTTATTGTTGACCTGGAACCAGTCTCTCCCGGCCACGTCGCACAGCCGATCCTTCTTCACTGTGGCCTTGTCAGTCAGCGCAGACGCAGCACTGGCCACACCAGCTCCCGCGATCTCACCTACGGATTCAGGATGAGAAACAGCGGGATCGGTCCTGAGCCGGCCCACAGGGGCTCAGAGCAGCCCCAAGCCTGGCATCCACCACAGCCACAAGGGGATGAGCAGATGTGAAAGGGCCACAGCTGTGTGGCTATGAATAAGGCGTTTATGGTCTCTAGGCCTTGGTTTCCTTATCTGAAATGAGGAGGAGTAAAGTTCCGTGATTTGCTGTGATTATTTTTAACCTAGAGAAGCTGGCCTCGTACACCCTCTTGATTGTGCAAATATGGGCCCTGAGCACACCCACCTCCTTGGAGGAATAGAGTGTGAACTTTTTGTGATCCTAAACTGCTACGCTTCCTTGACACACACAAAGCTGATTACTGCAGAAAAGGTAGATGGATTTGCAGAAGTGGATCCTATCCTTGGAGCAAAGGGACCAAAACCCCACAGCTGCTCCCAGAGGTGTGACACCAGGGAGGTCCACGGGGAGGGGCTGGAAGAGGCAACACATTTCCAGAAATGAAACTGCCTTGAAGCAAGGGATTTGGGCTCAGAAGGACCAGGATAGTTGGGAGGGAAAGCTGATGCCAGCACAGAGATTGGGCATACCTCCTGAGGCAGCCAGCCTATACCGTGTGGGGAGGGGCAAGCTTTTGGTATGATGGCTGAAGAGGTGGGCTTGCACGACAGAGGCGGACCCCAGGGAACATCACAGAGGAGGCTCACTGTCCCTCAAAGAGCCTCCGTGGCCCTGCCGCGATCGGGAACCCCCAGGGCTCTTCTCAGCAGGGGAAGCATCCTATTACACTGGGCAGGACCCATCTTCCACTGTAACACCATGTGACAGCAACAAGCAATGGCAAAAGTGTCTGATCAGAGTCCAGGTCCTGTTCTGCTAGGCTTTCCAAAGAGGACTAAACCCCTCTGCCCTGAGTATAATCCTGAGATTTTAGAAAATCAGAAGAATTCAGACTTGCTACTAATAGGGCACGAGGTGCTTGAGGATTCAGTGAAGTAAATAAAAGATGGTGCTGTGTTTGAGTCCCAAATTTGTGGAAAGGCTCGGTGTGGTGATTGGATCAGGGGAGCTCCTGAGACCCATCCACCTTCAGCCCCTAGGCGCGTGGGTGGCAGGGCTGGGACTGGGGCAAGGCAAGCAAGGTGCCTAGAGCACAGAATTTCAGGAGGTACCAACTCTCAGGGATGCAAGTTCAGAGTCAACACCTAAGAGTGAGGGCTTCCTTACACTTCACACCCTGGGTGTCACCCTGGTGAGTAAGTGCACAGGCTGACAGTCAGAAGCTCTGGGATCTGATTCTGGCTCCATCACTGAATGGTCTTGACATGTCACTTAACTTTGCTGAGCCAACACTGGGAATCCACAAATACCAGCTAAGATGGATTCACAAACACACATCAATATAGGAATTTAAAGTTTCTTTTGAAAGAACTATTTTACTTTTTAAAGTTAGTCTATTAAAGAAAATACCAATTAAATAATTGAAGAGAGGGCACAAGGATATGGCAAGCAATCAGTGACTAAATTTTGGGAAACCTCAGACTTGACAGTATAGCAGGATGTGTAAGGGCAGGGAATAGAGAGTCAGACAGCCAGGATTTGAGTCCCACCTCCACGACTTTCCTGCTATGTGACCTTGGACAAATGGCTTAATTTCTCTAGTCCCCAGTTCCTTGTAGAATAGGGTCAGTAAGTTCTACCTGTGCCTACAGTACTGGACAGGGAGCTGCAAAGATTAAAGAAACTGACTAGGTAAGGTGCCTCCACCAGTGCCTGGCACAGGGTGAGTGCCTCATTAGTACTGGGTTGTTCTCTAAGCTTCCTTCCAACTCTAATTTCCACCGTTTTCTCAGTAGCAGGAGGTCAGTCCTCCTTGCCTCACCTATTCCACGGGGTTCCTGTGAAGCTCGAGTGAGAAGATGCAGATAGAAGCATATTTCCCTTTGAGGAGCACCACTCACCCAATGAAGGGTGTCACACCTATCCACCCAGATGCCCTGTCGTGCCGTCCCCTGCTTCCTGTACAGCAGTTACACCCACTCAGTGCAGTCAAGCAATACTGGTGCTGGTCCAAGGTGCTGAACACAGACACGAACTAGACAGCGCACCTCCCCTCAATGAGTTTACACTCTAGTGAAAGGACACTGACAAGGAACAAACAGAAAAAATAACACACTTTCAGGAACTGAAAATGCTATGGAGAAGATTCAGTGAAGTCACATAGGAGGGGACGACCAGGGGAGGCTGCTCTCACTCGGGGTGGGGGGGGGGGCCACGCCCAGAAACAGGCATTTGAATTGAGACTTGAACGATGAAGAGGAGGCAGCTGTGCTGAGAGCCAGGAAAGAGCACCACGAGCAGAAGGAAGACCAAAGGCAAGGAGCTCGGGAAGAAAGGCACGTGGCGTGCTTGAGGCCGCAAGGAGGCCGCTGTGGCTGAAGTCTAGAGACCCAGGAGGACAGAAGAGGAAGCTTCGAGAAGGTCAGACAGGCAGGCAGAGGCCAGACCACGCCAGGCTCACAAGCCACAGCACAGACCTGAAACTTATCTACGTGTGATGGAAAAGCCAGTCGAAATTAAGAGAAGGCGAGTGCCATAATCAGATTTATACTTTGGAATGATCACACTGGCTGCCCAGTGAAGGAAGGACTGACCGTAAGTGGACAAGAGGCAGAGAGACCAACCCGAAGCCGCAGTAGCATCAGGTGAGAGAGGATGGTAGCTTACCCCAGGGCACAGCAGTGGACATGCTGAGAAGTGATCAGATTGGGGGTCTGTTTTGGAGATAAAGCCAACAGGATTTCCTGATGGATTAGACGTGGGGTGAAAAGGATCAAGGATGATGCCTAGACTTTTGGTCTAAGCAACCGGATGGTACTGTCCACTGGAGCCCTCCATTTGGGGTGTGTCAAGATCAACATGCCAATTAGATACCCAGCTGAAGATGCCAAGTCGTCAAGAGGTTACACACATCTGAAGCTAAGCAGGGTTAAAATCAAGTTAAGGGAGACATCAACAAATAGAAGGTGTTAGAAGCCAGGGGACTGGATGAGGGAGGAGTAAGGATTAGGGGTATGGGAGAGGAGGAGCACCCTAGACACAGGAGGCCAAGAAGGAAGGGCCCAGTGGGCAAGGAAGGCAGCGCCAGGTGAACAGCAGAGAGAGGCCACTCGTGTTAAATGCTGCAGAGAAGCCAAGTAAGCCATGACCAGGATATTGACTGTATTGATGTAGCCTTGATAAGAGCTGCTCCAGGAGGGGAGTAAATACTCCCTGGTGGAGGGAACAGAAGAGAGGATGGGAAGTGAGGAACCAGCGGGGGCCATGGCAGACAAGAGAGCTGCTCCATGGGAAGTTAGCTAGAGAGGATGTGAGGTCGAAGGGGTGTTTGTTTTATCAGTGGGAGATATTCCAGTGGTTTCTAAGCCAATAGGAATAATACAGAATTATTATTAATTTGAGGGCAGAGTGCTTGTGAAAGTAAGAGAAGGGGGTCCAGGGCCCACACCTAAAGGCTGGCTTTTAAAATAAGGGCAGGGGCACATATATACAATGGAATATTACTCAGCCATAAAAATAAACGAAATTGAGCTATTTGTAATGAGGTGGATAGATCTAGGGTTTGTCATACAGAGTGAAGTAAGTCAGAAAGAGAAAGACAAATACCGTATGCTAACACATATATATGGAATTTAAGAAAATGTCATGAAGAACCTAGGAGTAAGACAGGAATAAAGACACAGACCTACTAGAGAATGGACTTGAGGATATGGGGAGGGGGGAAGGGTGAGCTGTGACAAAGCGAGAGAGAGGCATGGACATATATACACTCCCAAACGTAAGGTAGATAGCTAGTGGGAAGCAGCCGCATAGCACAGGGAGATCCGCTCGGTGCTTTGTGACCACCTAGAGGGGTGGGTTAGGGAGGGTGGGAGGGAGGGAGATGCAAGAGGGAAGATATATGGGAACATATGTATAGGTATAACTGATTCACTTTGTTATAAAGCAGAAACTAACACACCATTGTAAAGCAATTATACTCCAATAAAGATGTAAAAAATATAAAATAAAATAAAATAAGGGCACATTTGCACTGTAACAGAAGAAAAGGCAGATTATGTGGTTCTAGATGTTGGTGGTTTGGTTGATCAGGGGTGGGGATGGTGACATCTACCCTGGTTACTTCTAGATTTCTCTATAAATACAGGGTGAGGTCATTCATCTTGCTACCATTCTTGGTCAGCAAAAGACACATCCAAGAATGTCCACAGCAGCTGCACACAGAGCAGCCCACTAATGGAAGCATCCAATGCCCATCAGCGGAAGAATAGATAACAAACTGGGCGATGTCCATATAACCGAGGACACGCAGCAATGGAAAAGTAAGAACAACACAGATGACCTCACAGGCCCAGGGAAA